CAGCGCCGCCCCTGCCGCTCCCATCTGCCTGGCTGGCGGGGAAGGGGACAGCTTGCATGTTGGTGAAGGAAGGAGCTGGGTGGGACGAGGGTGAAATCTAGAGTTAAAACCAAGCTGGTTCAAGGGGTCCTGCGGGCTGTAAAATGCAGTTTAATCAGAGTGCCATTTTTTTTTGTTCAAATGATTTTAATTATTGGAATGCACAATTTTTTTAATATGCAAATAAAAAGTTTTAAAACCTGGCTGGTGTGACGTGTGTGGTGTCTGGGAGGAGTGCCTGGTTCCGCGGCGGAACCCTTTGGGAAAGGGTCTCACTGGGGAGCGGGGAGCGATAAATAAGGAACATCTGGTAAAAGGGGTTTCATGCTGGTGTGTGCGATACCTCAGCGGTGCTGGGTAACCGGGAGGTCATTTTCTTAGGGTTGAGTTCCTAGCATGAATTATATAAAAACAGATAAAGATACATTTGCAGTTCTTTATAGAGTGACAAGCCAATGCTGAATTGTACCGGATTGAGAAAAAAAACCATAATTCACAGCACAATGTCTTAGGTGTGAAATTGAACTTGGCCTGTGAGCGAATTACCAACACGGACACGACAGGATTTACGCATTCCCGTCCGTTAGGGAAAATACATTTTTCACAGCTGTTTCGTCAAAGGATTCCACACATGTTTTTCCTCATCTAATGGGTTCTAATTAGAGTTCAATATTTAAAACTGCTTTTAGAAAATAAGTGCACTTACAATGAATAGGATTTTAAAACTCTCACATAATAAAGCCGTTGGATGAAGCCAGGGTTGAAACTGGTGCCACGTTTAAGTTTAGTAGGACTGCACTGGCTCATCTCCAGGGCTTCTTGGCTTTCTTGAGTCCAGAACTTCTCAATCACTTTGAAGTGCCTATTTGAACTGGTGGCTTTGGGGGGAAAGCCAAGCTCTGTATGTGGGCATCTCATGTACAGAAAGGGAGCTAAGGAGTCAGTATTCAGTGGGAACATTTAGGGAGGGTCGTTTCCCCAATATCTCCGCAAAGCTAAGGTTGCCAGTGCAAGTGTCCAAGAAGTTCAACTCGCCCCCGCCCCAAAAGAAACTGACTTATGAAAACCTCCTTATTGAAGGAGAGGTGGGGGGCAATTGTTGATCATTATTAAGCAGGTCCATTTCCTTTCCTTTGCTCAACACTTATTTTGAGAAATGCACAGGAAACCATTTACCTGTGGTTGAGACAAGCAACCGCAGCAGCAGCTAGAAGCCTTTATCTGCATTGCAAGGGAGGGGACGTGTACCCAAGGCTACAAAACCCGACGGGCCACAGCTGCGCAGTGAGCACAGAGGTCTGGAGCCTGCCCTGCGGCCCTGCATTTTTTTTCCTGCTGCAAGGAAGGGCGTGGGCAGATGGAGCGTGCCCCAGGCACAAAGAGACACCGGGCCGCCCTTCGCTGTGTGCACTTTTCAAACAATGCAAAGATGAAGGAGGATTTGAGATGGACATGGCTCCAGGGCTCCTCCTTTTAAAAGGAAAAAAATGAGCATTCAGGGGGAAGGGGTGATCTTTGAAGTCCAGGGGATGGATGGAAGAGTAGTCCTTTCTCTCCTGGGAGGTCAAAGCTAACATGGAGGGAGAGAAAGAAAGAAAAAAAAGTGAAATGAACAATCTGGTAACGATTGCATTTTGGCTGCTTAGTGCGCGTGGGCTGGGCCAATTCAGAAGCTTCTGCACATACCGCCCTGAACTGCGTGTGGGGATGGGGGTGGGAGAGGCTACTTTTTATTTTATTTTAATTTGATGGGGGAAGTGAAGTCTGTTTTCTTCCCAGGAGAGAACCTTCCCAGAAGGGCCGGGGTATTTCTGAGCCAGTCCGGGGTTTTTACGCTGCTACTTAGGAGATAGTGTTTGAAAAGGACGTCTTTCTCCCCGATACCAGGGGACCTGAGGTTCACCATTCAAATGGGGGATCGTCTCAAACGAAGGAGCCCCTGCACCCCCACATCTTTGAGTCCCTCCGTACACCCAGGAGGCAACAGGCCAAGGGAGGTGAAGTAAGAGCCGAGGGCCCCACGGCCCTGCCTGGGACTTCTGCAAATTTTGAACCGACAGGCCTAATAACGCAAAATAGGGGAAGCAAGAGGCCCAGCAAAGGCTCCCAGGGCAGACTAACTCTTTCCTAAATCCCACAGATTCCTCAACCATCGCAGCCACGTTTGCAGCCCCCAAAGGACGGCGTTTTAAAGCTACAGGATCCTTCCAGAACAACACAGTTCTTGGGCTGCGTGTGCAAGGAGGGGGGGTGTGTGCGGTGGGGGTTGCGTGTGTAGGGGAGAGGGGGCATGCAAAGTCCTAATGACCCCCGAGCCTCGCCCCTGTCCAGGGCCTCTTCCAGCGCTGGCCTCCTCCCACAACCTGGGACTTAGATACTGTCTCCTTTAAATGCACCAGGGAGATCAGTGGATTTCCCTAAAGAAGCATCTAACTCCCCAAGACACGAAAAAGAACTTTCGATTCTTTCTCAATGTATGGGGCCCGTTTTCTGCAACATCACGGTCCCCCAAATAAAGAACTCTTCCGCCTCTCTTAGCTCAAGAATGTGAATGGAAAACATAACGCTTCATCCCGTTGAAAGCACTTAGAGCTTGATTTACCCGAGTAACACCTTCCCGGGCCTAACGAGAGAGAAAGAAAATGACCCTCCCCCACCCCCCATTTCTCACTTTTAAGAGAGACTGACACTGCAATCTAGGAGAATTAAACACACCAATTTGAGGTTCAACTGGATTTTATTTGCATGTAATGAGAAGAGGCTAAATTACAAATTTAAGACCCAGATGTGCAGTGAAGTAAACGAAGGAGAAAATATGTTTCGGAGACGTCTAGTTACCTGGCTGGTTTTTAACTCTTATCTCTCTAGTCACATTGCTAGCGCCATGCCTACTCGGTTTCTGAGACTTTTGTGGGCAGGGGCTGCGCCCTCTACGTTCATATTCGTATATTCTCTTATGGCCAGTAGTGTCTCACCTAGTAATGAACGCATATTAGGGCTTCCACATACACTCTCCCCCCTTCATTGTTGGAGATGCTACTTAACATGGTGTTTTGGGCTAACCATCGAATACGTGAGTGTCCTGTGAGACAGCACAATTTTAAATATATTTTTACAAACATTTAAAGAGCTTTGAATGCTCATTTGCCACTGTCCCTGGTTGTGCTGATTTTGAGTCGATGCTTATAGCCAACTACATGTTATTGAGCTCGTGCACTAGGTCATTAGGTGACCCCCACCAATATGTATTAACTGTGTAATGCCTGCCCGGTGTTTTATCGCCACAGAGATACAGTTGTAAATAAGACATAGCTCCAGCCCTCACGTGTCTTTCTTGGTTAAAGGTGCTTTTTTCATCTGAATCTGAGAGGAAAAGGCTAAGACGTTATTGTTCCCCATTTTTAGGGTGAATCCTGAGTGGTTCTCAGCCTTGGCTGCACATTAGAATCACCTGGGAATCTTTTTTTAAAAAAATATATTTTATTGATTTTTTACAGAGAGGAAGAGGGAGAGATAGAAATATCAAT